GAGGCAGGTCGATCACCTGAGGTCAGGAGTTCAAGACCAGCCTGGCCAACATGGCAAAACCCCGTCTCTACTAAAAATACAAAAATTAGCCGTGCGTGGTGGCGTGTGCCCATAGTCCCAGCTACTCGGGAGGCTGAGGCAGGAGAATCGCTTGAACCTGGGAGGCAGAGTTTGCAGTGAGCCGAGATCATACCACTACACTCCAACCTAAGCGACAGAGACTCCATCTCAAAAAAAAAAAAAACAACAACAACTGAAGGTTACAGATGACAAGAGCAATTGTGCTTTCTAAATTTCATCAGTAAGAACAATGATACTGCTCTGAAAAAAATAAAACTTTGCAACTGATGATTGAAGACAACTGCAGTTACATATCATCCTCAACGCATTCCTACATTTTCATTTCAGTGCAGGACACCAAGAAAATTCTGATTCACAAAATTACCATTTGCAATCACTAAACAAATGGACTTAAAACAGAGTACTGAGCTAGAAGCCTGAAAAAAGAAAAGGAAATTTTACAACCTGTGGATATTTACGCAATGCCTCCTGATTTTCAAATGTGGCAATACATTCAAAAACAGGTCTCGACACAATGCAGCTGACACAAACCCTTCTGAAGACCAAATCCAGCCAGAGGGCAGCCTGTGTGTGTGACCTCCAGAGAAGATGGTCTCTAAATACCCCACCCGTTCTACTGTCCTACCTCTCTCTCTGTGCTTCAGCTATGACAACAGCAGTCCCTAATCTTTTCAGCACCAGGGACCAGTTTCGTGTAAGACAATTTTTCCACAGAAGCGGGGCAAATGGTTTCAGGATGAAACTGCTGCACTTCAGATCATCAGGCATTACAGTCTCATAAGGAGCACGCAACCTAGATCTCCTGTGTGCACAGTCCACAATAGGGTTCGCACTACTGTGAGAATCGAATGCTGCCACCGGTCTGACAGGAGGTGGAGCTCAGGCAGTATTGCAAGTGATGGGGAGCAGCTGTAAATACAGATGAAGCTTCACTCGCTCACCCACCGCTCACCTCCTTCTGTGCATCCCGGTTCCCAACAGGCCACAGACCAGTACCAGTCCGCGGCCTGGGGGTTGGGAACCCCTGCCTTACAGCAAGGATCAGCAGATTTTTTCTGTAAAGGGCCAAGTAGTAAATATTTTAGGCTTTGTGGGGCCACTTTCACTGTTATGTATTGTTATCTGGGCATTTTCCTTTTTTTTTAACAACTCTTGAAAAAACAAAAGCAATTCTTAGCTCCCAGAGGCAACAGCCACTAGTGGTTTATCAATCTCCGCCTTAAAAGAATATTCTCATGAGGTTATACTATCCACCCCTGAAAATATTCATCCTGTTTACTGTTGATATATATGCCTTACAAGAACATCTTTTTCAGTAAGAAAATTAAAATGAGTAGAAATTCTTGATTCAGATGCAGTTCTTCCCAGTTTAACACCTATGAAACCAGGAGACACTTCACAATCCATGTTTCACAATTTTTTTTTTTTTGAGATGGAGTCTCACTCTGTCGTCCAGACTGGAGTGCAATAGCGTGATCTCGGCTCACTGCAATCTCCACCTCCCAGGTTCAAGCGATTCTCCTGCCTCAGCCTCCAAAGTAGCTGGAGTTACAGGCATGAGCCACCATACCGGGCTAATTTTTGTATTTTTAGTAGAGACAGGGTTTTACCATGCTGGCCAGGCTGTCTCAAACTCCTGACCTCAGGTGATCTGCCCGCCTTGGCCTCCCAAAGTGATGGGATTACAGGCGTGAGCCACCACGCCTGGCCCATGTTTCACATTTATGACTGGCAAAATTTTCCTTCCCTACTGGAACATAAAATAATGGTGTATCTTAAAATCAACAGTGTTGACTTTAACAAGAAGACATGGCATAAAATATTAGCTAATTATGTTACTTGGCAGTGAAACTCAAGCTTCAAAATAAAACTCAACTCCATATATATACTGCCACCTAATCTCATTATTTCACTAACTATAGTTCACCCAATTTCACAAGAAACTTGAATACAGCAAAAAGATATTCTCACTTTTGACCCTCATACCACATTTTCTTTTTAATTGCTTTTTCACTGCAAAAGTAATACATGTTCCTTAAGATTCAGAAAGTCAAAAGAAGAAAAAAATAAAATCACCAATTTTTGTCATGACCATTATCAGTTTAGTTCTTTCTCTTTTTGTTACTTCTACACAGAAGGATGCTTGCCTAGTTGCAAGCAATCATTTAGTATGTATAATTTTTCTCTTTTTTTTTACTTAACATCATAAAATAATGCTGTTTTTCTTACAAACCTGTAATACTGTTCAGCAGGAAATTTGGTCTTCAAAGATGTTAGATGTGTTTTTACTGTACCAAAATGTTCTCGAGCTTTCAAACACCTCTTTGGAACTAATCGCAAAAGATAACGAAATGTAATAATGAAAAACTTAACCAAATTTCAAATATAGTTCTTGCTTAATAATCTAAGTAATCTACCTGGAAATTAACAAACTTTTTTTTTTAACCTCACAACTAATGTACACATCTCTGCTTTTCAACCTGGTTCTCAAAAAGTATCATCCCCAGTTTCCCTACTAATTAGCTACACTGAAAAATAAACAACTTGCCAAAAGGGAATATATTAGGAGACACATTGGTAATTGGTTAGGTTGTCATAAATAACGTCATCCTTAAGGAGCTGCACACCAGCTGCTATTCCTGTTCATTCCTCAGAGGATGCGTAAAATTGGATTGCTTCTTCCTCCCATATTTGGCAGAAAAAAGCCTTTACCAAGTATTCACAATCAGGATGACCAACTCCGTATCATTAAGAAAAATGACTTGCCTCTACCACGTGTAAATACATTATTATATCATTCTTATATCTGAAAACATACTTCAGCTCTTTTAGCTGTGCTGGCTATACCTTACAATGAAGGTTCCATGTCTAAACTTGACATATTTTACTTTCATTCAAGAGGCTGACTATAAACACATTAATTTGAGAACATTTTATACTGTTCATCTCATATTAAAAGGTATTCAATCACTGAAAGACTGGATTCAACTACACACTGGTGCATACACACACATATACACACACACACACAAAAGGGCCAAATAAAAGTCACTAGATAACACAAGAGTTATAAACGCTTGGGCCAGGCGCAGTGGCTCACACCTGTAATCCCAGCACTTTGGGAGGCCGAGGCAGGAGGATCATCTGAGGTCAGGAGTGCAAGACCAGCCTGGTCAATAGAGTGAAACCCCATCCCTACCAAAAATACAAAAAAAAAAAAGTAGCTGGGCGTGATGGCGGGCGCCTGTAATACCAGCTACTCAGGAGGCTGAGGCAGGAGAATCACTTGAACCTGGGAGGCGGAGACTGCAGTGAGCTGAGATGGCTCCAGCCTGGGCAACAAGAGCGAAACTCCGTCTCGGGAGAAAAAGTAAATGAATATTAATAAACCCTTTTCCCACTTATCCTGAGAATACTGTGCTAGCAGAAAGCTGCACTTTTTTTTTCTAAACAGGAAATGGGTTAAGCAATTGTAATTATCATCAGTAGAATGCCATCACAATAGAAAACATCTCTATTTAAACCATACTATCTGGTAGTGCAAGAAAAATCAACCAAAATTATCAAATCACCTCCTTCTTCAATTTTTACTCACCATAAAGCATGAGAGCCATTTTTCATTATAAAATGTCTTCTGGATATAAACTCTCTTCTAAATAAGAGACTGATAATTGAGTATAAAACAAAGAACTTACTGTCCTGAAACCCAGCACCCTGATGGACCCCTTGCAGTAGAGTTAAAATCTCTCGAGCTGTTTGTTCTAAACTCTGTACAACTTTTCGGATTTCCTAGAGAGAATTAAAAATAAAAATCAGATACTCAACAGAATTATTGTCATACACTCACACCAAACACATTAGTTTATGTGATCATAACCAAGTTTGAATCCTGACTTTTTTCCACTTATTTCCTCTGTAAGACTTCAAAAAGTCACTAAAAAGCCTTAGATTCCTCAGGTACTCTTTAAAGGATAATAGCCACCCATTCACCCCAAGGATTCAATTGGGACATTATAATGGATGATGTGTGTGAACGTAACTTGCAGAATGAAGAGTTAAATGCAATACAAGAGCTGGGTATTTACACTTCTTTTTTTTCTTTTTTCTTTTTCTTTTTTTTTTTTGAGACGGAGTCTCATTCTGTAACCCAGGCTGGAGTGCAACGGCGCGATCTCAGCTCACCGCAACCTCCGCCTCCTGAGTTCAACCAATTCTCCTGCTTCAGCCTCCCAAGTAGCTGGGATTACAGGCGTTCGCGACCATGCCCAGTTAATTTTCTTTTGTATTTTTAGCAGAGACAGGGTTTCGCCATGTTGGCCAGGCTGGTCTCAAACTCCTTACCTCAAGTGATCCACCCGCCTCGGCCTCCCAAAATGCTGGAATTACAGGCATGAGGCGCCGCTCTCAGCCTCTAATTCATTTTTAAAATATTCACTGAGCATACTTATGTGTGAGGCACTGTGTAAATACTGGGGAACCGAGCACACAATCCTTTCCCTCTGATGGTTTAACATACAATGGGGGAGACGATTTTTTAAAAATAATCAACATTACACACATTTAAAAAACTTAAGATGCTACTAGAAAACATAACAGGAAATAGATCGTTTAGACTGTGACGTCAATGACATAAATACGAGACAATCACGAAAAGAACGGGAAATAAGCAAATTCCAGGAAAAGCGAACAGGCAGGAAGCTATCTGGCGCACTAGAAGAGGTAAAGTGAACATCATACACAAAGACAGAGAGCATAAATGAGATTGACGAGAGACCGTGTGAGCCACAGGAGGGTCTGATTTTTTATCCCGTGTGGGATAGGAAACCATAGGAGAGTTTTAAGCAGGAGATCACATGTGCTTTTAAGACACCAACAAAAATACATGAAACGCTCATTCGCTGAAGACCAGGTGCTAATCGAGCCTTCGATATAAACAAGTGCTGAAAAGAAGGAAAACTGACACAAATGAAGCAGGTAATGCTTAGAAGCTGAGACCCGAACACAGGGAATCAGGACAGAGCGGCAAAATTTGGGGCGGGGGCGGGGAGTGTCCTAACCTAAAGCTAGAGGGGAAGCAACCCACCCTCGGAGGCGTCCCCACCGCCCGAGACTGAGCGACAGAGGAGGGTCGGGCGCAGTGGCCCACCTAGGCATGGAAAGGCAAAGGGAATGGGGAAGGGAGGGGGCTCGCCTCTCGGATGTCCTGCTCGGCAGCCAAAAAGCCCTGCAGCTCCACGAAGATCTCGCTCACAGACATGGCGCCGGCTGCACAACAATCAGCCAGTGTAGCAAGGGCGGCCAGGGAAGTGGACGCCGGAGGCAACCAGCGCAATCAATCGCAACGGCCGCCGCTATCGCCGCGTCCCCCCGGTCTTACGCCACGACCGTCGCTGGGGTCCTCCGAGGCCCGCGGCGCGCTGGAGGACGGGCTGTCCGCCGCGCTGCCTGAGGCGCCGTCCGCGAGGCGCGCGTCCAAAGGGCAGAGGAGGGGGCGAGTGGGCGGGGCCTCGGTCTGAGGCCTTCAGACAGGCATCGCCAGAAACAACCTGCTCGGAGCACGTGGGCCTGAGGGAGGGCGGGGACGGGCTTGTAGGGGGTGTGGGGAAGCGGGGTTGTTTAGGTTACGTATACGTATTTCATACACTACAGCAGTTGGGGGAAAATATTTCACAACGAAAGAGTATGCACAAAAACACAGGTGAAGAAGAATGTAGAGAGAGTGCAGCCTTCGTGAGAAAGTAGGGGGCCAGTGCATTTACATTTCCAAAAAAAGTAAAATAAAAGTAACGTATGTAGGACTGTGAGTAGGGAATGGATTGGGAACGAAAATTTTCTGTGTAAATATTTTATTTTAATGTCCTTTCTGTATGGCTGTATTACCTATTTTTAAATTAAACGGATTTTTTAAGCGTGGGCGGTGGGTTGTTTCTCTTTCCACTCACACCTTGCCCTAATTCCCCTTCCATGCCCTGTAACTGTTTCCCCTTTGTTCTTGAAGAGTTATTTCATACACAAATACTGTGTGTGTGTTCTTGAACAGTTATTCCATACCCAAATACAATGTGTGTGTGTTGCACGCTCCAGATGAATTGGAATGATTCTTATCTAAATGATAACTTACTGCTTGCTTTGTGCCTGACGTTATTCTAAACTCTTTATATGAAGGATCATATTTAATTCTCATTATATGAGAAGAATTTCATGTCCATGAAGAAGACAGTAAGACCACTAGCACCTACATTTTTAAAAAATTATCCGCCGGGGGCGGTGGCTCACACGTGTAATCCCAGCACTTTGGGAGGCCGAGGCTGGCAGATCACGAGGTCAGGAGTTCGAGACCAGCCTGATCAATATGGTGAAACCCTGTCTCTACTAAAAATACAAAAATTAGCCTGGCGTGGTGGTGTGCGCCTGTAATCCCAGCAACTCGGGAGGCTGAGGCAGGAGAATCGCTTGAACCCGGGAGGCAGAGGTTGCAGTTAGCCAAGATCACACCACTGCACTATAGCCTGGGCAACAGAGAGACTCCGTCTAAAAAAAAAAACCCCTTTCTTAGCTCCTGTTTGTTCTCCCAAAACCCATTTGTCTGTCTTAAAGAATCCTATTTGTTCTCATACAAACTTTCGTCACCTCTCCCTTTTACCTACTGAGTTAGGCACATAAGCCACTAACTGGTTTTTTTCTTTCTTTGTTTTTTGTGTGGATTTTTTGTTTGTCGTTGTTTGTTTTGTTTTGTTTTTTGGTAGAGACGGTCTCACTCTGTTGCCCAGCCTGGTCTTGAACTCCTGGGCTCAAGCAATCCTCCCACCTCAGCCTTTCAAAATGCTGGGATTACAGGTATCAACCACTGCACCCAGATATAAACCTCTAATTTTAACCATTTGGTAGGCTAGCTACTTATTTTGCTAGCTCCAGCATCCATGCAAATAATCCTTTTGTGAGAGTGTTCTATAAAAAGTGTAATTAGACCCTATTAGTTGATGGTGTTGTTGAGTTCTTATATGCCCATGCTGATTTTCTGTTCTGTTAATCTGTCTTTTGTCAGTTTAATTTGCAGGCCCTGGCTGGGCATGGTGGCTCACACCTGTAATCCCACCACTTTGAGAGGCTAAGGAGGAGGATCACTTGAGCCCAAGAGTTCAAGACCAGCCTGGGCAACATAGTGAGACCGCTATCTCTACAAAAATTTTTTGAAAATTGGCTGAACATGGTAGCGCATGCCTGTGGTTCCAGCTACTTCAGAGGCTGAGGTGGGAGGATCACTTGAGCTCAGGAAGCCGCAGCTGCAGTGAGCCATGATTCTGCCACTGCACTCAAGCCTGGGTGACAGAGTGAGACTCTGCCTCAAATAAATAGTTTTTTTGGAGGCCCCCATAAACTGAACAAAATATAATGAAGAGAAAGCTTTTCCTCCCCCAGTACTAGCTTCATAAAGAACTGGAAAGTGTTCCCTTCTGGTCTATTATCTGGAAGAGCTTATGCAGACTGGTGTTTGTTCTTCAGTTGGTAGAATTCTCTGCTGAAACCTCCAGTGAAACCTTCTTTGGAGCTCTCTTTTGGGGAATTTTTATTGCAAATTCAATTTCCTAATAGTCATAGTGCTACTCAAAGTATCTTTTTCTTTAAGAGATGGGGTCTCACTCTGTCAGCAGGTGATTCCTCCGCCTCAGCCTACCCAGTAGCTGGGACTATAGGCACATGCCACCACACCTAGCTAATTTTTGGGTTTTTTGGTAGAGATGGGGTCTAGCTATGTTGCCCAGGCTAGATAGTATCTATTTAATATTGGGTGAGCTATGGTAGCTGTGGTTTTTAAAGGAATTGGTTCATTTAGTCTAAGAAGTCAAATTTATTCGAATAGAGTTGTTTATAGTATTTCCTTATATTCGTGTGTTGTTTTCAGGCTCTGTAGTGCCACCCTGTATTTCATTCCTGATAGGAGAAATTTATTCATTTTCTCTTTGTTTCTCTTTGTTAATCTTGCTGGAGGTTTATCCACTTTATCGATCTTTTAAAATAACTAGTTCTCTGTTTAATTTTCTTTTTTTTTTTTTCCTTTGAGATGAAGCCTCATTCTGTCGCTCAGGCTGGAGTGCAGTGACGTGATCTCGGTTCACTGCAACCTCTGCCTCCTGGGTTCAAATGATTCTCCTGCCTCAGCCTCCCGAGTAGCTGGGATTACAAGCCCACACCACTGTGCCCAACTGATTTTTGCATTTTTAGTAGAGATGGGGTTTCACCATGTTGCCCAGGCCCACCTTGAACTCCTGACCTCAGGTGACCCACCCACCTCAGCCTCCCAAACTGCTGGGATTACAGGCATAGGCCACCACACCCGGCCTCTATTCTGTTTCAACTTCATCAATTTCTGCTCTTTATTTTCTTCTTTCTGCTGGTTTTGGTTTTATTTTACTCTTCTAGGTTCTTGAGATGGAGCTTAGATTAAGATCTTCCCACTTTTCTAATGGATGCATTTTAGTGCTGGAACTTTCCCTCTGGGCACCGCTCTTTTTTGGTATGTTGTATTTCATTTTTATTTGGTTCAATGTATTTTTTAAATTTCTCTTGTGACTTCCTCTCTAATGGATTATCTGGAAGTATATGGCTTAATTTTCAAGTGTTTGGAGATTTTTCTGTTATTGTGTTATTGATTTCTAGTTTGAGTCTATTATAGTCAGAGAACAAGCTATGATTCAGTTCTCTTAAATGAGTTAAGATTTTGTTTAAATACTCCAGAATATGGTCTCTCTTAGCATATATTCCACGAACACTTGAAAGGCTCTGTTGTTGAGTGGAGCGTCAATTCGGCCCTTTTAGCTGATGGTGTTACTGAGTTCTTCTATGCCCTGCTGATTTGTCCAGTTGTTCTATTAACTTTTTAAGGAATTTTCTACAGAATCAGTCATTTCATCTGTGAACAAATAGTTTTATTTCTTCTGTCCCAGTCTATATACTTCCTATTTCCTTTTCCTGTCCTAATGCATTATATAGGACTTCCAGTAAGATATTGGATGGGAATGGAAAAAGGGGACATTTTTGCCTTCTTCCCAACTTTACAGCCAAAGTATCCAGTCTCTCACCCTTAACTATGATGCTAGCTGTAGGATGTTGTTGCTGTTGCTGTTGTTGTTGCTGTTTGTTTTTAGAGACAGGGTCTTACTTTATCACCCAGGCTGAAGTACAGTGGTGTGATGATAGCTCACTGCAACCTTGACCTTCTGAGCTCAATTGATCCTCCTGCCTCAGCTACTAGAGTAGCTAGGACTACAGGTGTGCACCACCATGCTTTGATAATTTTTTTTAAATTTTTTCATAGACATGGGGTCTGGTCATGTTGCTCAGGCTAGTCTTGAACTCCTGGCCTCAAGGGATCCTCCTGCCTATGCCTCCCAAAGTGCTGGGATTATAGGCGTGAACCACTGCGCCTGGCCTTTGTTTTGGCTTTGGTTTTTTAAGAGACAGGGTCTTGCTGTGTCACCCAGGCTAGAGTGCAATGACATGATCACAGCTCACTGCAGTCTTAACCTTCTGGGCTCAAGCAATCTTCCCACCTCAGCCTCCCGAGAAGCTGGAACTATAGGTGTGTGTCATCCTGCCTAGCTAAATTTTTTTTAGTTTTGGTAGAGATGGAGTCTAACTGTGTTGCTCACGCTGGTCCTGAACTCTTGGGCTCAAGCAATTCTCCTGCCCTGGCCTCCCAAAGGGGTGGGATTACAGGCATGAGCCACTGCACCTGGCCTTATTCTATCAATTGTTAATAGAGGAGTCTCTAACTATCACTACAGATTTCTTTTCTTTTCTTTTTTTTTTTTTCACACGGCATCTCACTCTGTCGCCAGGCTGGAGTGCGATGGCACAATATCTACTCACTGCAACCTCTGCCTCCTGGGTTCAAGCAATGCTCCTACCTCAGCCTCCCGGGTAGCTGGGACTACAGGCGTGCACCACCACGCCCAGTTAATTTTTGTGTTTTTAGTAGAGATGGGGTTTTACCATGTTGGCCAGGATGGTCTCGATCTCTTGACCTTGTGATCCACCTGCCTCAGTCGCCCGCCTCAGCCTCCCAAAGTGCTGGGATTACAGGCATGAGCCACAGCACCAGGCCATTGATTTATTTCCCCTCTCAGTTCTGTCAGTTTTTGTTTCACAAATTTGCAACTCTGTTGCTTGCTATATACACATTTAGGATTACTATGTCTTCTTAGTGGATAGACTTTTTATGATTATATAATGTTCCTCTCTGTCACTCATCATTTTTTTCTACTGAAGTCTATTTTATCTGATATTTTTATAGCCACTCTTGCTTTCCTTTTATTAATTGCATTATATATGTTTCATCTTTTTTCAAATTTCAACCTGCCTATATCATTGCCTATATCTTTTTATTTGAGGTGAATTTCTTCCAGATAGGATATAGTTGGATCTTTTTTGTAAAATTCACTCACCAATCTCTGTCTTTTAATTGGTATATTTAAACAATTTATATTTAATGTTATT